CACACACACACACACACACACACACACACACACACACACACACACACGTATATACGTTTATGTACATCATGTAGCCTGGAAACCAGTCAACTGGAAATTGCTTGGAAATATTGTTTAGTAACTCAGAAATCCACAATTGCCTAAGCCTAAAGATTAGACCTAAAATTCATATAATAGATTGTCTGAAGTCAGAGAAGAGTTAAAAGAAAGGGTCTTTAAGAAACCAGAGCATGCAAAGGTGCTAGTATATAAGGGAATTTAGAAATGTTGCTGGTACTCAGAGAAGTATTTGCTCATAAAAAAATATGAAAAGTCCTAAATTTTCCCCACTTGCTGATCTGTGCACTCAGTTTAAGCAGGTAGTACTGAAAGAAGCAAAAGTTGTACATGTCTTAACTAAACCTTTGAGTTTAAGCACAAAAGTAGTCTGCAGTTGTGGAGTAATGTGTAGATGTTGCGTTGCTGTTGTTGAAAGTGGCTTTTAGGGAACAAAGACAAACTGAGACACACAAAGTAAATTCTCACCAATCAAAAAAAAAAAAAAAAAGAAGTGTGCACAAGTAAGTTCATGAGCTCAAAAACCTACTATTATTAGAATGAAACTGTTAACCAAAGTGGTCTACACATTGAAGGGGTAGAGATTTTGTGCAGAGACCTCCAACCACCAAGTCATCCCCCCATCTTAGGTTCAGCTGGATAAAACTTGTATCAAAAGATACAGCCAATAGCCTAATTCCAAATGCCCACATCTATGGCAAAGCCACAAACAATATGAATAGAATAGATATTATGTCCCCCAACGAACTACCAATCTCATAATAATGGCCCCTATCAAGTATAACTCAGACAAGACTCAAGGTGTGGGATTCAAAAGAATTATAAACACACTCAAAGAATTCAAGAGATCAAGAAAAATGTCATAATTAGTACAAATAATCCTCCTCAAAAAATTAAAAAATAACAATGGAAAGAAAACTTCCCCAAATCTTTTTGCAACGCCAATCTTCATCCAGCACCCAAAACACACGAAGATTCAAAGAAGGAGACTATAATGAACATAAATACAAGAGTCCACAAGACAAAATACACATATGCACACACAAATAAACTATGGCCAGGTTGGCTCTATTTCAGAGATAAAAACAGCAATAACAACAACAAAATAACAAAAATGAAACACTTTCAGCAAAGTTGCAGGATACAACCATTACCATACATGGCCTTTCTATATGCCAATGTAAATTCAATGAGAAGGAAATTAGGGAAACAATCCCATTTACAGTAGACAAAAATGAAGGACCTCTATGATGAAAACTTTAAAACTGAGATGAAATCAAGGAAGACACTAAAATATGGAAAGACCTTTCATGTTCGTGGAATTGTTACAAATGATACTGTGAAAATGACCTTCATGCCTCCAAAAGTTTATATATTCAATGAAATCCCAATAAAAATTCTCATGCCATTTACCACTGGAAGAGAAATAACAATCTTAAATTCATATGGAAACACAAAGAATCACAGAGAGCCAAAGCAATCTTGAGCCAAAAGAACAATGTTTTGGGCGTTATTACTATAATTGTTTTTACTGTATACCACACAGCTATATTAATAAAGGGAACAATTGAATAGCACTTGCACAGAAAGCAGATAGACAAAGAGACAGACAGATACACATACATTTACATATCACTTGAATATATATATATATATATATATATATATATATATATATATATATATTCCCTTGAAAAGTAGATTCAGACCTAGGCCCAAGCAATCACAGCAACCAAATTTTTGGCCAAAATATACACTGGAGGAAAGCAATCCTTTTCAACAAATGATGTTGTATAAATTGGATGTCTACAAGTAGGTAAGGAAACTTGATTCTTGTCTCTCATCCTGAACAAAAAACAAAAGCCAACTCCAAGTGGGTCAAAGACCTCAATGTAAAACCTGAAACTGACACTTCTAGAAGAAAATGCATAAAGCACACTGCAATGCAGAGATAAGGAACTTCTCACTAGAACTCTTGTTACTTATGAAATAAGACCAACAACTGACAAATGGTACCTCGT